TCTCATACATGATGCATAAATTCCTTGCAAATTAAGAATTTTTCTGGTTTTTGTCAACTTCTTCCCCTTAATCCTGGTGGTTTCATAAAGACGGAGAGAAGGTGGAAGAATGTTTGTCTTTTCCCATAAGGAGGCAGTAACACTTTAGGCTTCCTGTTGCTGTTATCTCTGTGTGAAGAGTTTCTTAATTATCTTATCCCTTTCTTGAGCTAGTAAAAAAAATATCTTACATCTCATAGTTTCTATTTCAACATTATGTTGTAACCTAAAACTATATTTAAGACACTACTTAAAAAGAATTAGTACAGTATTACAAAATAACCCTCCATAATACACATAGTATTCAATTTAATATTTGCGAAGAGCCAATAATTTAATCTGCATTTTTCACAAGACTAAACATCTATCATCATCTGCAACTACAGAGAGATAAATAATGATGTAATTCCAATTCTTTACTTCCTAATTATGAGAATCTATACTCGATTCTGTAAGTTATCTATGTAACCATTATTTTGCCGTGAAAGCTCTGGACCAATTTTCCTCATCCAGTGCCTCAGCTTGATGCTGTTTGTTACCAATTAAGAATCAATCTAAATAAACTCTGAAATGAAGTGTACACTGCCTTTTAAGTATGACTACTGTGCATAACTATAACAATTTCAAAATTCTGATGCTAGTGTTCTACAGAACAGAAGACTTTTTAAGACCTCTTTAATAAGAATCTTAACATAATTCTCACATCCTGGAAGTATTTTTTTTCTCTTTTTACATAATAGAAGCAATAGGTAAGAGACTTGAAAAGCTATTAAATAAAATAGTGCGACTCTTGGAAAAGTGTCTATTGCTTATTTATTACAAGATCTTGCTTGTTTTATTGATGCAATAAACAAACACACCTATGTTTTGACAGAGCTAATAGCATGCCCAAATACACTTTCTAGAAAAAACTGAAAGTGTTTCTTATATCCTCTAGTTTAAGCCTTTACTACTGCCCATCACCAAAATTCAAAGGTTTGGTTGGAGCATAGTAAGAGAATGAAACATGATTATATGTTTAAGGTATAATAATGAACAAGATCAAAGCCTAAATCTGCAACATTCACATTTAACTATTCATACTCAACTGAAAAAGAGGTTCAGCAACCAGTATTACAGTAACCCTGAAGAAAACAGATATATGGACTCAGACAGGTGTTATCTAGAGCATATTTTTAATGTAATTTGCATTTAGAGCCAAAAAAGGGTAAGAGTAGAGAAGTATATTTGCTATTCCTTTTTTTTTTTTTTACATTATAATTGAAGCTAATTTTAAAAAGAAAATGTGGTATTTCAATACATGGAATTGATATATTTGAGTTTATAATTCAAATACTTAAATCACATGGAATTTCTCTGCACAGGAAGTCTGTGATACAATGGAAAACAAAGAGTTAGTTAAAACCAAATAAGCAATAACTTTTCATTCTGCCTACTGAGGGTTCAACAGTTACTTTTATCCTCATAGCAAAAAGATTTAAACAATGTAAAATAAACTATATTTAAGTCTAGCACATCTCCATCACATTTCTCAGTTACTTTGAAACATTAAACGCCACTTCATTGTAGTCACAGAACACAGAAATTAGTGTTAAGTCTTTGTACTCACATGTGTCAATATTTGAGAGTATAAAAGACATTCCACTCTATAATTCAAAGCACAAGGAAGCTATTTCCAGAGTAGTCATATCCTGCGACTACTAACTTGCAGTTGATGTAAAACTGAGAAGAGGCATATGTCTTTTCTATTAAGGTTTTTATTCTTTTTTAATACCTCAGTAAGAATTTTGCTATAGCATTCCATTCCTTCTATAAGATAGTGTTTTATAAAAGTGAAAAGAGTTTAATTTCAACCAATTTCAAAAGAATCAGTAAAAGAGATTTTTTGGTATTTAGGTAACATATAAAAATACCTCCTATCCAAGGACTGTTGCAGAGTATGCACGTGAAAAATAACCACACTCTTGCCTTGCATTTTAAAATGTGCTTTCTACCATGTGCTTAACAATCAGAACCTCAGAGATACTACAGACAGCTGGAATCTTGTTACTGGCATAAGCAATATAAAAAATGGGAATATAATTTTAGAATTTGACAATAACAGCTTTTTCATTTTTTCTTTTTAACCACAATAATTTTCATCTTCCTGGCTGAAGTATTTCAGTGGAAGTTCAGGAAGAATGCTTTGAGTATTTATAAAAAAAATAAATCTAATTTCATATGTTTCAACAAGCAATTGGGTATCAATATCCTTGTCTTTAAAACTACATACCTGCAAATTATTTAATAAATTTTTATATCTATATTTCACCCCTACAGAGCATACAATTTTTTCCTCAATGTTCTCAATAACTTTACGGGCTGTCAACTTGGGTGCAATGTAGTTTAATCATTGCAAATCAGAAAAAAAAAAATCAGCCAATTTAATACAAGTTTACTGCTGCAGATTTGCAAGAGAAACAAATAGGATTTTCTTATACACAGAATTTAATACAGTATAGGTATATCATGAAACAAACACATGAAAGTGGTTTCAAAATAAGAGTTTAAAAGTGGCAATATACAAACAGCATTACTTTCAACATATCTTTATTTAAAAGTATTAAAATATTCTCCCCAAGAATGGCTAAACTTGTTGCCTCCACACTGAATACTAAGAGAAAACACAAAACAGCCAAGAAGCGAGGATGAACTTTTTTAATATATATACTCTTTTATACTCTCAAGACAGTCTTTGTCAATTTAAATCACAAAAGAAAAATACTCCAACATGAATTTTTTTTAAAAAATCTCCTAAATAATTTTTCTTTTTATCTACTTATTTTGGCTTTTAAACACCTCTATCACCAATAAAAGCCTAAATCAACTTGTTGAGTTTCTGGAGCAGGAAACCCATTTACTGCCCATCACTGAAATGAAACACCAAGTCAACAATATTCAGTATGCTGGAATACTAAATTTGCAGGTAAACTATATTCTACTCAACACAAATCAATTTCACTTAGACATTCGCATGGCTTATGTGCCATAATAAATTCTACTACTGATCAACAGTAATGTGCTGAATTATATTAAATACCCGAATCTCATTCTCCTTTATGAAATTCTTTTATAGATTCTTTGCAAAACAAAAGAGCCCTTTCAGCTGTAAAAGTTAAGCTATTATGCAAATATTATAAAAATAGGAAAGTTAAATTAGGACCTATATATTCACACAACAAACTGCTTTTTCTTAAGTACAGCTGACATAATAAGAGATGGAAAAAACATGCATTTATAAACATATTTAAAATTAAGAAGAGAAGACACTGCTATAGAATTTCTAGTACTCTGCCATACAGCTATTTCCTATGTTATAATGATACTGGTGATACCTATATTTCTGGACTGATAAGAATCACACCACCAACGTGCTTTAGTTTCTTTTGTAGCTAAAGAAGTTGATTTGTAAATTTAAACTATGGCATACACTCTAATGAGAAATAGATAAAATATATAATTAAGTTTCTGGTTCAACTTTGAACAAGCTTTATATCTAGTCACATAACCAACACAAGCAAGACATTAGTGCAAAAGGGAAGCTGTCAGTTGTACATGATGAGTACTCTTTCCCTAACTGCATGATGTGAGAGAACAATTATCAGATTAAAAGTTCAAGTGGATTAACATGAGAACAAGAGACATTTTTTCTCCCAAACTTGGCACTGACTTCCAGAGGATCATCAGGAAAGCAACATCAGTGTCCTAGTTTAGGGCAAATTTGGGGAAAACCCTCTGGAAGGAGCCCCCAGAAAACAAACCCCCACGGCCCCTCCCCACCCACCTGGTTCGGGAAAAAATTTCCTCTGAGAGAAGTGGAAAAGAACCTGTTTATTCAACGAACAAAGCACCCCCCAGCACCAAAAAGAAAATTAACAACACCAGATGACAACAAAACTCTTTCACCACTCTGACGAGATGAACAAATCCAGAAAGTCTTTCCTGGGAGTGGTTGCCCGGGTCTGGGCGCTGGGGGATTGCTCTCCAGCACTGGGGATGGTTGCTGCAGATGACCAAAATGCAGGATCTCGGTGCTCCTCGGTGTTTCCCAGGTCCCAGTCCGGAGCAGGTTGGATGGTATTCAGGAAGAGGAAAGGAAAAGAAACAGTCCAGGGAAAGAATTGGACTGCTTAGCTAAACTAACTAGGAAGCAAAGGCGAAAGCAGAAGCAAGCAAAGCAAGCAAGCCAAGCAAGCAAGCCAAGCAAGCAAGCAAAGCAAGCAAGCCAGCCAGCACTAGCCTTTTCTAGACAGCAGACCATGGGGGGAGGTGAACTGGCTGATAACAAGGCAAAACAAACCTTCACTTTCAGAGTCAGTTCTGAAAGCACAGAACATAATATCAAACGTAAACAGAACACAGGATTGGAGATACAAACACCATAACATCACCCTAGGACAATCAGTTACAGCTAGAATAAAAAAGTTAAACCCCAGTTCAGAAAGGTGATATGTGTGACATTCACATTCTCTCAACAGAGAGACATAATTCTGTCTCTCAGGATTTCTTGGAGAAGCACAGAGAGAAGAAAAGAAAACAATCTTTATCTCTGCTCCTTTGTTTTCCCCATGTGGAATGGAGATTTTTTATCTGAAGTGATTGCTTGATTGGATTCTGGCGAAGGTTGTTTGGGTTCAATGACCACTCGGATCCAGCTGTGTCTCAGACTCTCAGCAGAGAGTCACGAGTTTGTTAGGTAAGTAAGAAGTAAGTATGTAGAATACTACAGAATCTCTTTAAATAGTATATTAATGTAATATAGTATAGTTTTAATAAAGCTATCCTTCAGCCTTCTGATCTGGAGCCAGACATCATAATTTCTTCCCTTGATCCGAGGTTCACCGCATTTTACTATAGATATGTAGGTCCACAATTTGTAATGCTATGAAGGCAGCATGCTCAAAAAGCACTCCAAACAAAACTGCAAATCAAAATGGGCATTTATTTTGAAATTGGCCAACTGCTGCATAGAATTGTTCATCACAGTCACATTTAAGTCAGTGCATAGAGAAGATAAAAAGCACTTATGGTAGTTGCAAATGTTAACAAGTCCATAGAAAAAGAACAGAGTAAAAGTAGAAATGCTCAAGCAAAACCAAAAAAAGATTACCCTCCAACTGTATAAAATCCACACAACAGTTGTAGTAAAAAGAAATCAGTGGAAAATATTCAACTCAGTCCTAAACACCTGACAGGAAAAAAGGACCAGAATAGACAAACCAATGGCAAACAATTTTAAGAGTCTAAATATAGCACTATATTTCTAAATAATCCACAAAATATAACGTATGGCATATTCAAATATTGGTTAACCAACTCTGCAGATGCAATTCTAACATCGCTTTAGAAAATGAGAGCAAGATGGAGCAAACTAAAGGAATACTGATATATTGCAACAGTGCACAAGAAAAACATTGTCACTAAGCTATGCTTCAACAACAGCACTCTGTGCCTGCACACTATTATCTATGAAGCAAAACAAATTTCTCTAGCTTTTCAGGGATGTGCCCTGCATAGCATATGTTATGATTCACTATAAAACAAGCAGCAAGACATTACAATGTAGTATGATTTATAGGATGGATTAAGTTTTTTGCTATCTTTTTCTCATCCAGTAGATCTCTAGCAGTTTGTTTATGAAAGTTTGTGGCATCAAAGTGTGAACCTGACTCGATAAGAAAATTCATTATTCCTAGATGGTTGTTCAGTGCAGCAATATGTAAAGGACTGTTGTTATCAGAGTCTCTGACATTTATATTAGCACCACATTCCACCAGGATAGCAGTAACTTGTAGAGAGGGGAATTTACAAACTGGGTAGCGACCCACACATGTAGTATTCTTGTCAACAGCAAGATGAAGTGGACTGAAGTTATTCTTCCCTCTAGGCTGAAGCTTAAGAAACTTATATATAGTCTGTTTCTTAAAATGCTCCTGTTCTGAGGTGCAAGGTACTTTTTCCAACAAGCAAATTAAATGCAAAATGATAGAAAGTGCTTTGTTTAGCTGTATTGGATCAGGAGGACACTGGATTTGTTTCATGGCCCGCTCTATTTCAAGAACACTTTTGCATAGTATACCCATTAGATCATCAAATGTGACAGTAGCGCCTAGCAGGCCTTTTGCCTTGTCCTGCAGCATGAAAGAGAAGAGTTCAGCAAATGATAGCAAACTGCTGTCTGTCATAGGGCTCAGTGGATCTAGATTGCTCTGCTGCATGTCCAAAGCATATTTCCATAAGTTGATGCATCGTTTAAAGTTTCCAGAGTCTGCATAGACAGCACCTCTGTACCTAATATAGTAGGATGTATCTGGGTGAGAGGGACCAAGAATACGTTCTCTAATTAATAGTGCTTGCATTCTCATCTCATCAGGATCTGCAATAAGATTTTCTAGCTCTTCGAAGCTGTTTACTTCTTTAGCATAATCATAGGCCATAATTAGCGTTTGTGGTACAGGTCTGTTCAGGATACTAATCCTATCATTGTATCTCATTTCCATAGCTTGCTTCCAGTATTTCAAAGCACAAAGCAGATCTCTCTTTTTGTCCACAAATGTTGCTCCTAGAAGTTCCAGAGCATTTATACATTCTATCTTACTAGTCTGTTCATGTTGGGTCAGGAAGTCCACAATATTTGTGTGGCCTGTCACACTGGCTGACAGAAGAGGAGTCATTCCATAGCCATCCTTTTCCATCTTAGCACAATACTTGAGAAGCATCTTCATAATCTCTCAACTTCCAGATTCTGCACAGTCATGTAATGCAGTGTTTCCTAGCAAAAGAAGAAAAAAAAAAATTACATAAATTATAATCAAATTATAGTCCAGACATCATCCCATTAATAGGTAAAAAAAAAAAAAAAAAAAAAAAAAGCTTTGACATCTACAAACTATGAAAGGCTTAAATGACAAGTCAAAAAAATTCAAGATCTGATTAAAACATCACAGCTACCACACAGTTATACAAACCAAAATACCGAAATGCTTGACATTATTACCCAAAATAATTAAACAGATTTTAAGGACATGTCTCATTATTCAAAATTTAAACCAGAATTCTCTACCACATGAGAAATTTTGTATCTGCTTTCAAATATAAAACAGAAACCTAAGCTTGCCAGCTTAAGTGGTTATATGCCTTAGTGCTCTCTTGTCCCCCCTTTGTCCCAGCTAGCTTCATGGCGGGAGGAGAACGCGGGCAATTTCCATGTTTTCTGGCGAACCCTTGCAGGCGTCGGCCGGTGCTGCGTGGGTCTGGGAGTGCGGCTAGTCCCGCGGCGAATTAAAGGAGAGACACTTTTTCTCCCGCGGGCAGAATCCCGGTTTGTTGTGGCTTGGTTGGGAAAGCAAAAACCGAAAAGGCTGCAGCGTGCCGAGCTGAAGTTTGTTCGTGCCGCCTTGCCGGTTCGGCGGTGGCGGCTGCGGCAGTCAGGGGCCGGGCGGGAGAAAAAGCCGCGGCGGTGGTTGCGGGGCGGCAGCGCGCAGAGGCCGGGCGGGAGAAAAAGCGTGGGGCGTCCCCAGCCCGTGGGTTAAGTACTGAACAGGGGAAACCCGGGGCGGCCAATGAGATAACGCCACGGGGGGTCTGGGGACAGTGGGGTGCAGGGGTACATCCAATGGGAGATGGACAGGTGGAGGGTCCCAGGTTGTCTCCTGACCCCGCCGCGTGACTGACAGATGGTCTGCGGGATGTAAACACAGGGACTTGGCACTTTCCCGGGAAGGCAAACCACGGGGGGAGATGGGAAAACCCGGGGGGTCGCTACAGAGCGCGGGGGGGGGGCACATGGAATGAACTTATACATAATAAAACATATAATAACACAATTCCACAACTCCCTCTTCTGTTTTTCAAAAGAAAAGAATGAAAAATAACTTAAATGGGAGATTTTACAGTCCTGTTCCCCATCGTTGAATCCGATGTCCTCTGGGTATTCTGCTCGGTTCTTTTCTGGCTGTCTGCGTTGAGCGGTGTCAGCTCTGATGGGGCAGTGAAGTCTGGGCGGTCGATGTGCATGGTGGAATTGATGACCTTTAAACCTTTTAATATTGCTAAAACTTATAATAAGAATCATGAATGTTAACAGCAACATAAGTCTTGTCTCTGAAACGGATTGGATTTAACTTGTGAGACTTCATCCTTCAAAGCGACCTCAGCCAGTCACTTGCGAGAGGGATGAAGCTTACATCTGAAAAAAAACTGGAACATTCATCAGCATTCTAGGGAGGGGAGGTTTAAATCAAAAAGGAAGAGTGAGTCTAGGGAACTGGATGGTGAAAGGGAAGGCTCTGAAAGAGAAGGTGCTGAATCAAAAAGGAAGGGAGGAGACTTTCTCCGTCTGCGGAGGGCTGCATGCTTCACCTGAGGATCTTGTTTCTTATCAGTCTGGTGTTTGGGGACATATGGCCGGACAAACTTGGACGGGACCCATCTCAGGCCTGAGGGCGTGGACACGCAAGCGTATCCCCGTCCCCAGGTGACTAACTCATGGGGCCCTTCCAGCTGCCAAGTCTCTGGATTTTTGACGATCACTGGTGGTTTTTCCCTAACCTTGCTCAGCTCGTGGTTGCCAAAGTGCCTGGTGATTGGCGGGTTGAGGTTTTCAAAAGAACAGTTCAGGAAGTTCAGTGTAAAGAGGGCACGCGCGAGCCGAACTTGGGGGGACTCAACCTTCATAGTTGGTGTTTGTTGTTTCAGCATGCGTTTGAGACTCTGATGAGTCCGCTCTACCACGGCTTGACCTGTCGGGGAATATGCGATGCCAGTTTTGTGCTCTATTCCCCATTGCTGCAGGAAGCTGGCAAATCCTTTGGATGTGTACCCGGGGGCATTGTCTGTTTTTATCAGTTTTGGGACGCCCAGCATAGCGAAGGCCTGTATCAAATGCTTTTCAATGTCTTTGGCTTTCTCCCCTGCGTGGGCAGAAGCAAAGACTGCCCCAGAGAAAGTGTCTACAGAGACATGGACGTACTTCATCCTCCCAAAGGAATGGATGTGAGTAACATCCATCTGCCATACCTTGCAGGACTTCAGACCCCTAGGGTTTGCCCCTGAGCTCACCGATGGTAGGGGGAGTGACTTGCAGGATGGGCAGGTGGCCACAATGGCTCTGGCTTGGTCACGAGTAAGGTGGAACTGCCGGACCAGGCCGGGCGCATTCTGGTGGTAAAATTGGTGGCTGATCTTAGCCTGCTGGAACTTATCTGGGAGCAGTGCTACTTGAGCCGGGGCGGCAGCAAGAGAACTGGCACGCCGATTACCCTCGGCCAAAAACCCTGGTAAGTTGGTATGTGACCTGATATACATCACGTAAAAGGGTTGCTCTCAGTGGGAGACTAGCTTAATCAGTTTCGAGAGCAACTTGTGCAGGGCCTCGTTGGACACACCCTGCAGTACAGCATCCTGCGCTCTAGACACTATGCCAGCTACATATGCCGAATCGGTTACCAAATTAAAAGGTTCAGAGAATCGCTCAAAGGCCCTGACGACAGCAGCCAACTCAGCTATTTGAGGGGAGCCTTCCACCTCCACAATGTCTGTCTCCCACTGCTGCGTCTGGGGGTCTTTCCAAGTTATCACAGACTTGTGAGAACTCCCAGACGCGTCTGTAAAAACTGTCAAGGCTTTGAGTGGCTTTTTGCTCTGAATTCGTTTGATGGACAATGCGAATTGAATTTCTGATTCAAAAATTTTGTGGGCTGGTCTCAAAACTGAAATTTTGCCTGTGTAGCTGTCTAGAGAGAACTGCAGGGATTCATTTTCCTGTAACAGATGTTCTAGCATGGCCTTGGTGAATTGGCCTGATTCCAATTTGATGGGAATGTGAATGCATTCAAAGTCACATCCAGCTAGCTCTCGGATCCGTGCTCTTGCCTTGCGGATCAGTTCTGCTACTAACACCTGTGGCCTTGTCATTCTCTTGGACCGATGGTGACTTAGGAAGACCCATTCTATGATGGAGAGTGGGTCCCTTTGGTCCTGGCCCTTGCCCTTCCCTGGGGTGTCTGTCCATTGAAATATCACACCATGGAGGTGTGGCAGCCTGCCCAATATGATGAATTTAAAAGGCAGGTCCGGATCGTACCGGTGGGCCTGTCTGGCAGACATTGTCTCCTGGACCCTAATCAAAGCTGCGTGGGCCTCTGGGGTGAGTTCCCTGGGAGAACTTGGCTCCTCCCCCCCTTTCAATAAATCGAAAAGAGGGGCTAGGTCTCTGTTTGTGATGCCCAACCATGGCCTCACCCAGTTCAAAGAACCGCACAGCTGCTGGACGTCTGCTAGGGTCTGAATTTTGGTTTTGATGGCCAATTTTTGCGGAGTAATAGTCAGCTTGGTAATTTCCAAACCCAGGTACTTCCAGGGTGGCATCTTTTGAATCTTATCCTCTCGCAGCTTGAACCCTGCAGCAACCAACGCATCGGTTGTCAGGTTAAGCGCGTGTGTAAGGAGATCGTCATTGGGAGCACAAATCAAGATGTCATCCATATAATGCTGGATGATCACGCCCTCGGTGGCTGTACGGACTGGGGTCAGCAATGAAGCTACGTACCGCTGGCAGATGGTGGGCGAGCATTTGAGGCCCTGTGGCAACACTCGCCAATGGTACCGCTCCATTGGGGCTTCTCGGTTAAGGGACGGAACCGAGAAGGCAAAACGCGGTGCGTCTTCCGGGTGGAGGGGGATATGAAAGAAGCAATTTTTGATGTCAATCACAGCCAATTCCCATGCTTTGGGTAACATTGTGGGGGACGGCATCCCTGGTTGGAGTGGACCCATATTTTCGATCACATTGTTGATTCCACGGAGGTCGTGGAGCAGCCGCCATTCGTCTTTGCCTGGTTGTTTCAGGACAAAGACGGGGGAATTCCAAGGAGATGTTGTTTCTTGGATATGTCCCTTGGCAAGTTGCTCTGCCACGAGCTTTTGGAGCGCTTTTAATTTTTGTTTATTGAGCGGCCACTGCTCTACCCAGATCGGAACATCAGAAAGCCAATTCAACTTTTGGGTAGGACGCTCCTCAGTGACCGCTGCCCGAAAAACCTGGGGGGTAGGAATGGTCAATGTGACCCCCCACTGGGCCATCAGGTCCCTTCCCCACAAGGGCTCTGTGTAATCCAGAACAAACGGACGCAGGTAAGCTGTTTGTCTGTTTGGCCCCTCAAATTTGATGATGTTTTTAGATTGTTTTGCCAATTGTGCCCCTCCAACACCTTGAATGTGTCCAGCCACGTCCTGCAACTCCCAATGCGACGGCCAATCCCGTGAGGGAATGACTGTGACGTCTGCCCCTGTGTCCAAGAGGCCGTTAAGCCACTTGTGCTCACCTCCATTCCACATGTAACACTCAATTTTAGGTCTATCCTTCCCAATTACCTGGGCCTGACACACCTCGTAGATCTCCTTTGCGGTTTTCATCCATAGATCTTCTGGGTAGACGGGGGCCCCAGATGCAGCTATGGCCTGGGCGATGATTTGCCCTTTGGGAAGGTAGACTGGCGGGTGAGCACAGTGCAGCCACAGCACCAGATGTTTAGGGTTTGCCGATGTTAAATTGGGTGCGATAGTGATATTGAGTGGCGTGTATTTTGTGTCCCCAAGGACGATGTACTTACTGTGGAGTTTCCTCCAGGTCCCTGGGTCCTGTGTGTCCACTGTGACAAAGTACCAATTGCTGTCCCTGAGCAGTAGGGGTTCGGTTAGGGCCAACCTGTATGGAGAGAAGTTGGACTGGGTGTTAAGGATGGGCCTGGGATGGTCGGGGTCCCGAACAAGCCATGCCTGCGAGATGAAATTCCCGACTCCCCCCACGCAGGCTGGTTCACCAGCTCTCGTTCCCCTATTGTGCACTCCAATAATG